TTGGAGATGGGAACGGATAAAAGGGGAACGGGGGCGATTAATTTGTTTGATTACTAGTTATACCTGGCGCGTCAACAGCTAAGGTCATTAGTTCCGTAATTGTAGTGCGTGTTTTTGCTCGGGAGGTGGTGGAGATTATATGCCGCTAGATGGGAAGATTTGGCGCCGACCTACCGTCAGCTAGGGTTTTTTACCCAAACAGTTATCACCCGCCAGCGGGACATCGCGCCAGTCGAGACACGCTTTAAGCTCCCGACCGGTCTTCCGGCATGTGGGTAATTGATGTGTGTGTGTGTGAGGGGTGAGGATAGGTCAAGAAATGGGACGGAAAGATCGCGCGCGGTCCGTGGTCCGTTTGTTAGTGTACCGCTTCGGCATTCGCCGGGTATTTATTAGCGAAACCGCGGAAAACTACTGACGAGAGCAGCCGGCCGCTAGACCTCTCCTGCTCACAGCGACAGAACGCGACCTAGCTATCTGACTGGCAGGACGGGGGGTCGATGTAGGTGGGTTGGAAGTAGGTGGGGGCGGAGGAGGCGGAGTTCACGGAGGTGCCGAAGCCGCGCGCAAAGCGAAGCCGCTACGTGAGGACGCCGGTGGATGGGTAATACTTTTCAACGCGAGCTGGAGCGGGAGTGGAAATACCAGTAGCGGCTTCATGGAAGCAACGCGTGTGGATCAGATTCTTCTCCTGTGACGGCTTAACAAAAATAACCAATGCGTAGGTTTGGAATCGAATGCAGGGTTGTTGCAACATGAATAAATAATAATAATGGTGTTCAATCTCTCCTTGAAATACAAAACTGTGAATAAATATTTCGCCTGATATTTCTTGTGTCTGTATTAATTCGTCTGGTTTCGGGTTGCCCTGGTTTCATTGGATGTCAAAAAACTTATCGCTGTATATCTATTTGCAATCCGGAAGCGAGGGAGCATTTGCAATGATTGGCAGTCGTGTTGATGAATTTGTTCTCTGTGCTGTATAAAGAATTCTCTTCCAGATATTCCGGACTCAAGAGACCGTTTTGGGAAGGACCTTTAATATTAGAAAGAATAAATGATTTTCTTTAAGCTCGCAACTAGCACCTTAACTCGTCATATTTATGTATATGCCATATAAAAACTGTAGCAGGATGCGATTGAACCTTGCCTTTCTCCTGATATGAGCTTCTCTATTGTAGTCACTTTGGTTTAAAAATTTCGCAATTACGTAGTGAAAAGTTACATAGCTGTCATGCGTTTCCTCTGTAGCAACCCTGCGTCGCAGAATTCAATACTCAACTGAGGGTGTTCAATAGTTATCTGAGCATGAATATGAAATTTTATCTTGGAAATTACCTCATTACTTTTCAGTGCAGTCCCCGTTGGCTTCAACACACTTGGTCTATTTTGCCCTCAGTGATTCAATACCCTCAGAAAAGTAGGAAACATTGCGTAGGAAACTTGTGTTAGACTCTGATCTTAGAGCTTGTCGTAGACTCAAATCGTAACAGAATGCTTTTGGATTTCAAACAAATAAAAAAATATAAAAAAGTAAATTGTCCATTTCTTTGCTCTCTCATTTTGCGGTTTGTGATACGGATTTGTGTATTTACTCATTAATACGTTTTCGTTATTTTAATGTGCAATACAATTTTGGAGAATATTCATGGGGACTTCAAAAGGATTTCAATTTCATTGATTCTTTGTATTACCTCTGAATATTAATAATTATGTATAAGCGCAGTTTATATATTAATCTAATGAACTGCATCTTTTTTAAATTATTTAGTATGATGACTGACGAGAAGTGAAAGAAAAGTGCTTTCATTGATGCGGGTTTTGAAACTTCAAAATAAAAATAAATAGTGTTATTCACTCCCTACAATTATTTCTTCATTCTAGTCGGAAGGCAGCGTCTATTAACAGATATTCTATATTATTCGCCCTTGATACGTTTCGTGATAATTGCGACCAAACTGAACGTAATGCACTACGGGTGGTTTTGTGTGATTTCACAGCTATTTGGCTTGTTGAATAACAATAGGAATTGCAATTCGATAGAGCCATGGTGGTAATGCGATATTCATGCAGTCTGTTATGTATCGTCGATTTACTGGTAACCTCGGGATCCTTCTTTACGAACTGAACTTCATGTATAATTATCTCCATGTACGTAGTGAGGTGACATACGATTAGAATCGCGAATGAAATTTGGGCGTTTAAGAGTTTCAGAAAAGATTAACGTATTTTGGAATGTTTAAGAAGCAGATCACCCTTGCGACCCAGAATTATGTATTCAAATATGCCAACAAAGTATTGCAACCCTGTCACCTCAAATCGGTTAGAACCTGAATTTCAGGTAGTGATGAGAACTCCACAAAAGAACCACTCGTGTCCGCTAGCAAAAGGTGTCAGTGTTTTAGATAAAAGGTGCATATTCAATAAAATCTGTCAGAAAACTGATTCTTACATTAAGTTATTGAATGTGACGTCTTATTTCTATCTGCGCCCTCCCAGGTTTCTGGGGGTGGAGATTTCGTTGCCAAATAGGAGTCTGGCTGTATGAAGTATTTGTAAATATGAAAACCGAAGAGTGTCGTTGTGGTACATTTTCTATTGTTCCTTCGAATCAAAACTGGTTTGTTTTTGGTAGGTATTTTGTATTTACTTCCTACCTCTTCATCAGTTTTAATTTTTCGGTTTTTATTGATTGATTAGTGAATCTGGGCGCGTCAACGGCTAAGGGGATTAGTCCCGTAAGTATAGTTCATGTTTTTTAATCGCTGGAGATGACAGCGATCATCCTGGTGAGATCCGACGCCGACATACCCGTCAGTTTGCAGGGTTTTCCCCAACCAGGTATCTCCCATCAGAGGGGCACCGCTCTTTCCGGGACAAGCTCTTAAGCTACTGACGAGTGTGTAGTGTAGTGTAGTGTATGAGTGTGTATGTAAGGGGGTGATGATAGGTTAAGGAAGAGGAAGGAAAGGTCCAGTGCGGTCCGTGGTTCATTTTGTTAGGGCACTGCTCCGGCATTCGCATGGTTTGATTGAAGAAACCAAGGAGAACTATCGACCACAGCAGCCGCTAGAATTCTCCCTCAGACAAAAACTGAATTCGACCTAGTTCTAGTTGTACTGCAGGTGTCGAAAATCCACCACTGTTGGTACATCAGTTGGTGCCCTGAGCCACCGTTGCCGGTTTTTGTCTTCGCTTGGGCGTGCCCGCATGGGGTTGTTCGCGGCGTAGTTTCACTTGTTTTAATTCTCTTTTCGGCGAGTGAACCCCTTTCGAGAGTACGTGCGTGGCAAGCACGCCCACCTTCTCCTGCCGTGTTGCGTGGGGGGGGGGTGTTGTGGCGTAGTCATGGTTACGCGGGGGTCATGGCGCCACATCCCCTTTCAACTGGGCTGGTTGTGGTGGTGGTGGTGGTTTGTCGTGAGGAATTTTTTAATATTTTTCGTGGAACGAATCTGAGATTATGGATCGCCCGCGGACAGAAAGGGTTGGCGGCTTTTGTTTTCGAATTTATGCGAGGGCGTTTCGACGAAACGTGTTGCCTGTTGTTTTCCATCGCAGAGGAAATACCTCGGAGGATCATAAAACGTTGGGTTCCGAAATTGTCCTCTCTTTTATTTATATTTTTACTGCTGTGCACTGTTTTCACTTGATGTCACTTCTAATTAATGGTGCTCTTAGTAGAGAAAATTGAAAATGACACTACGTGTTTACAAAACACTTCGTTGCCGTGATATAATTGGTATTATTTTTTTAATGTTATGTACTCGATATTTTATTTTTTAGAAGTGACTACAATCTGAATACGTCGGATATGGAACATTTCATATTTTCTTTTGGTGTTTCGTTATTTTATTTTTTTCATTTAATATCATTGACAGGGTTTACATTTATCAGTATAACTGCATTTGGATTATATAGATCATCATTTATACTAATTTACAATACTGCTTAAACCATTTTAAATTTATTCAGAGTGAGAAATTATATGAAAAAACCTCTGCAAACAATTTATGTTGTATTATGCGAATTTGATGGAAAAAGTATGAAATGGAAATCTGGTTTTGAATTCAGTTCTGCGAGAATGCCGATTTCTGATTTTAAAAGGGGTGAGGTGCGACCTGAGGTAGCGTGAGATAGAATTGAGTGAAGAGGTACGTTATTTGATGTTTTATGGACTCTTAACTTCAGGGAGTCAGTAGCTTCTTAGCTGTCCGTGAGACGACACTTGGGAAACAGAGGTGCCAACGCTTTGGCCGCCATTCTGCGACCTTCCTGAGGGCGAAATGCTATTTTGCCCCGAGGAAGGCCGCAGATTGGCGACCGAAACGTTGGTACGTGTGTCTAGGACGCGGCGTCTCCCGGGCAGCTACCTGGCCAGGTAGCTACAGCATCCATCCAGAATGAGTTTGCATAAAGAAGTAAGGATCTTGTGATGGTTTTGTGTATTATGAGTGCATATGTGTGTGAGACACGAGTGATCTAACCTCGTTGTGTGTGTCTCCTGTTGCAGCAGCAGGAGGAGCCCGAGTGAGGGACGAACTTTGGCCGAGGGTGGACGAGCGCCGTGCCACGAGGAGAGGCGTCGTCCGGACGGTGATGCAGGCGACCAGGAAGGGCGAGGAGCGCGGCGGTGAGGGCCACCGCCCCACGCCTCCGCCGGGGCTGGTACTGCCCGGGCCCCTCCCCGCCCACCCACCCCCACGGTCCCTGCAACGAGGAGTCCGCACCTCCGCCTGGCCCGCGACCCAACCCCCTCAAAACCCCCCGTTTGCGGGGCGCAGCGGTGCAGTGTTAACTGACAACCGTCAGAAAGACCAGCGGGTTTTGGTTTTTGTTTTGTTGGATCGTCGAGCGGGAGTTAAGGAAAAAAAATCAGTGACGCGTGGTGCGTTGATTGGATTTCGGTGGTGCTTTTAGCGTTTTGAATAATATTTTTTTTTTAAAAAAAGTGAAGTGTGGCGTGGTGAGGCTGGAAACTTGTTGAACTTGTCTTCGAGTGGCCGACGTCGCGAGAAGTGAAGTGGGGTTCGACGTGCTGCTTGCTTCCAAGGTGAGTCTTTCCGCTTGGCGTAAGGTTGGCGTGTCGATGGACGGTGGCGACGGACCCAAGGCCACATGTCAAAAACATCTTTTGATGAGGGCTTCGCAAATTTCGCAGTGGGGGAAAACCATTAATATGTGTTCGCTCAGGAATATTCCAGGTTTTCTCGTTTCTTCCAGTCCAATAAATGAATTATGACACGCGCGGTTGCGAACTGTTTTGATTGAAGCTGCTGCTCTTGATATCCTATGTGGGGGGTTGATGTGAGGAGGAACATCACGGAAGTCACTGATAAGATTGGCAGTGTTGAAGAATTCTCAACCAGATTAGTGGATGACGGGGCTTCTTAGCTGTGTCGAAATGCCACACCATCAAGGATTTGACACTGGATGTTCTGGTATTCGCTTCAGCGTAAATTCTGCTGAAGGTAATACTTTTTTTTTGGAACGTAGGAGGGGATGTTTAAGAATCAACAGTTAATAATTATATGAACGGTAGTAGTTGGATTTGAATCCTGTTAAATTTTCGAAGATGTAAAGTTCTTACAATCGTGAAGGGAACTGAATTCGAGAGATAACTTGTATAGGATGCTCCATTGCTTTTTCCGCAAGAAACGAGAACGATGACAATGGTAGTGCTATTAGATACGATGATAGTGAATTTCCTTCATGTAATCGATAATCGGAACTCTCGTTTTTGAACGGTCACCGACCATGACCTTAGACGTTGATCTGAACTTCCCCATTTTCGGTGGCACCGACCCACTAACGCGATTGTGTATCTTGGATGTGGGGTACCCTTATTTAAATGGTGATTCTGCACATTTAGGTCCAGGGGTAATCGGCGCACGGTTGTCCCTTAAATCGCAGGCGCTACTGTGAAGGATTTGCCCGGGTAGCAGAAGCCCTCGTATCGGCAGGCGACCTGCGCCGCCGGGTGTTGCCCGTTGTCGGCCGGCTCTCCGGCGTTGCCTCAGAGGCTTGTCGCGCCACCGGTCTGCGCTCTGCTCGCCCATTTGGTTGGGGCACGCCCGCCTTTCGCCGCTCGCTCTAGCGCTCTCTCTGCCTCGCGGCGGCCCATCGGCACACTTTCCCACACCTCACCAACACTCATCCGATAAAACTCCCATCTTCCCTTCCACTTCTCATCATCCGCCACCTCTCACCTCCACTCACCTCGCCAATCGGCCAACCACCTTCGGCCACTCGGCAACTACTTCCGCACGTCATTTATCTGCCGCTCGTCCCTATTTGCGCACCGTGGTCACGCCACCAACCACTCACCCCACCCACCCTCCTGCCTGCCGTTCTCCTCGTCACGGGCCCTTACTCATCGTTCGTCATGAATCTCTCGTTGAGGGTGTCTGTCTGCCTTGCACATCTCGACCATCTTCTTCACCACTCTCTTCTTATACTCGTTTCATGTCTTCTTTCCCTATACGTGCTCAGTCAACTTATCCTCCTCCTTATCGGACACACCGACCTTTCGCGCACTCGACTCGACTTTGCCGTCGTCCGGCTTGGGCGTTCGCGAGCTTCTCTTAATGCGCGTCTATATTAACAAGAAAATTAGTTGGTGGTGAGCTTGCCCATAAAATAATTTTGGGGGAAATTTTTTAACAAAAGAAGAATGCTAGACGAGGCAAAATTTCTGAACACGTCGTGTTTGACTCATAGGCTCACGAGTTAACTGCACCACTAATTGACTATAAATTACTAATTGATTAGCAGTGTTTGGAATATTTTTCGTAATCTAAAGATTAATCAACATGTGTGAGTCATGAAAATATTTTATTTATTGTTCCAAGATTAAGAATTGTTGTAATTCTTTACATTATTATATTTTTTAATTTATTTGTTTAAATCTGGATATGTTTAGATAACTGAACGTAAAAGAATTATTTTTTAGATATGTTTGAAATATTCTAAAAAATTATTATCAGTATCACTTACTTTACTTTACAAATTCTAAAACTATCACCTATCCTTCCCGATCCGTAAGCAGCCCGCAAATAGTATTGTAATTTATGGGAGGACGCGCGCGCGAGCGAGCGCTCCCGTTTCGCGAGCGCTTCCAATCTGGCGATCGCGTCCGCTCGCTGCCCGGAGGATGTTGGCTCCCGGAGCGCGACAGCCAAGAGCGACGCTGCCAGCGCCCGTGCCGCAAGCCAGCCGCAGCGCTCGCCCCGCCACGGGACGATCCCGGGCGGAGATGCGCTCGCTCTGCTCGAAAGACAGCGCACCGGTGGAGTCGACATCGCTCGCGGAAGCGTGGAGAAATCGCGAAATCTTTTTCACCACCTCTTTAGGCATTCTGGTGACTTTTAATATCGGTGATAAAATATGATTAACGAAAGCGAGAAAAAATAATATATTCCTTTTGTATTCATCAGAACCAGTAAAAGCTTGTCAGCTTAAAAGAGATAGCCACTGCGTCAAAATCGAACCCTGTGGAACCTCCACACTCGATAGGCTTAAATTTGAAAGAGGAGTATGTAACGCCCTTTTGTGCCAGTGAGGTATTTCTACTGTTTGTGATCATGTTTAAGGGAAGACGCTAACCCAGCTTGGCTAATGGCATTAGTTTCATTTATTGGAAATAGTTTAATAGAAAATTTTTAGAGCAGTGGATTGAAATGTTGAAAAAAAATGCCGTTGTATGCTGAAATAGATTTCTATGAAGTGTTGAATAAATGGGACAGAACATTCTGAATTACGACAGAGGTCACGGATTTAAATGATTTATATTGAAAATTTAAAACTATTTGATCTTGGGTGGCTCTTGCATGCCTTTTTGGACGTCTGTATTACGGTATTCCGTAAATAGTCGTCGGACTGCTGTTAAAACAATCGGCGATCTCGACATCGACTCTGACAGTGCATTAGTCAGTCATTACTGCCCCAGCAGACCTCGCCCACACAGTCATTCCCTCCCGTGAATACGTGCGCTGTCAGAGCTGGAGGCTCGATTGTGACAAAGAGCCCGCATGCGATACCCTCTGCCCGCTTTCAACCTCACTTTTGCCCCCATCACACACACATACACACACACACACACACACACACACGCGTTACATGTTACACGTGCGCGCGCAATATCTGACCCTTTTCCTTCGCTGGTAACCATAACGCTGGGAACGCGAATTCAGCGGTTTCTCATTCGCGTTTCGAGAACAAATCCTGAAAACCAACACACGAGTAACATTTCAATACAAATTGTATTTTCGTGTTATAGATCATGTACAGGCATTATGGTGTTTATAATTGTACGTAAATGATATTTTGAAGTATGAAAATAAATTCAAAAAAACAATAATATAATAGATGCAAGTATTATCATATGCAAAAACTTGAACACAAATGTTGAACAGTGCGAAATGTAAGAGCAGAGCAATTGAGTAATACATTTGCAGCAGTTCAAACCCTATCGCTTCCTTGTGAAAAAGTACCTTGTTTAAAACATTAAATATTAAATCGCACTACAGGACGTTACTGTACTTATATGAGGTAAATTATGAACAATTCATCGTCTTAAGAGTTAATCTTTGTTAAGTATCTATTTTCATTATTTCCTTTCCGCGAACACATTTCGCCATCATCCGGCGAGGCTCAGAATTAATGTCTCAGTTGTTCGATTTCTTACGCAAACGGCTCATTACTCAACATCCGAAGTGTATGAAAAATAAATTATTGACTTCCTAATGTGACAATCACTGTTATTGCGGCATTAGCATTAAGAGAAACTTCTTCGTAGGGTTAGGTACTCAAAATTCAGAGGCAATTCGAAGTGTGTTTATGGAGGCTATAATTAAGTTCGAAAATATTTGGGGCAGAACTGTTTCGTGTAATGCCAGTCAAGTGAAAATACTGGAACACGGAGGCCAATATATTAATACAATTTTGAACTAGTTATCTACTACAGATAAAGAAAACTAAATAAAAAAATATTAACCACACAAAGTTTCCATCTAACTTCTACTTCAGAGAGCCAACAAAAGTAATCCTTTATTTTTCTCCGCGAACGAAAAAGACACGATGATGTAATGTCTTCTAACAGTACTATATTTTAAGGGTAAACAAGACAAAAATAAATCACAAGTTCTTAATCTCGCAGTGTATCTCCAGAACTGTAATAATTTCCTCTCCCTTTAGGGTCCCAAATCTCTCAGTCCGTTGTTCTAGCTTCTTTTCCTTCTCGTGGATTTTAACTGTTTGGTCGCCGCTTCATAGTTTCATTTCGCCACTATCTCCCGCGGCCCTTGACACAGAATTAGTTGTTGCTTCCCCTCTCCCCTCGTCGTTCCGCGTCCTTTTTCATTTCCGCTGGCTTCTTTACGACTTGCTCCCCCAGAAACACGCAAATTCGCAGGAGTCTCCTCGGGTGTTTGTGTGCGGCTATCTCTCGTTTTGCGATCTAGACCGTGTCTTTCGGATTCTCTTCATAAGGTCTCCTCTCCGTCTGCCAGAATTGCCACCACCGCCATCGGCTCGACTATCACTTCCACCACCTCTGCTGGCAAAACCGCCACCGCTATCTCCACCGCTGTTGAAATACCCTCCATTGTACCTCGGTTCATTGCACCACACGTATTCCTCTAGCGCCGCGGCTCCTCCACACTACCAGCTCCGTTGCCATAACAGGTACCACCTCTTCCGTTGCCACCAGAACCACCACCGCTCTGGCCATCACAAGCACCATCTCTGTCGTCACGACAACCCCAAGCACCATCTCTGTCGTCACGACAACCTCAAGCACCATCTCTGTCGCCACGACGACCTCAAACACCAGCGCTGTCGCCTCCACTACCACAAGCACCAGCGCTGTCGCCTCCACTACCACAAGCACCAGCGCTGTCTCCACCTCTACCACAAGAACCAGCGCTGTCTTCACCTCTACCACAAACACCAACGACGTCGCCACCACTTCCACCCCGAACTGCTGTCGCCTCTCCCCCCTCCGCATTACCACTTCTCATCCTCAAGCGTTGTCTCCTCCACGATTCCGGTTGAGTTTAATCTTCGCCGAGCATCTTTAGTGCGGCGCCCTTGTCTCGCTGGCGCTGCCACTGCCGCCGCCGTTGCGGAGCGTAAAGTTGATAAGGGGAGGGTTAGGCGCTGGGAGCCGGGTTGCTCCGGCCCAATCCCTCCCCGGGGAGGCTGAGCGGCGTCTGCTTCTTCGCCTTGCCGCGGGCCGGGGGCGGCGCTATCGGGCTAACGTACGAGTACCTCCCCCCGATTGCCTCATTTCTCGGGAGCTGAAGGCTCCGCGCCCACCTCCTCCACCGCCGCGCGTTTCGGCTCCTCTGGCTGCCAGCGCTATCGCCGCCTCTTACGCTGCTACGTCCCCGTCACAGCCCCGACCCCTTTGACGATGTTGTCGTTTCCTGCGTGACGGGAACCACAGTTCATCCCCGTTTCCACCCTCGCCTTTCTCGTTTCTTTTTTTTCCACACCCTTTACTTGGAAATGGTTCTTCGATGGCCGAAATAGATATCGAGTGTATGCGGTTGCGTCTTGAGTTACATTTTTCGAATACATCTACTACGCTCCACATATTCGGTTTTCGGCGAGTAGCGAGCGGTCTCTCGCCGAATACCGAGTACTGTGGTAGTGTTATTTGCTGAGCAACGAACATTCGGTGCTCGCTCTATCCACCGCGTGTCGGTCTTTTGCACACATCAGAAGAATCGATCCTTCGCCGAGCACATTAGCTGCTCGAAATTACTTCGAATGTATGGATTCGCCGTAAGATGAGGTAAAAGTCGACAGAGCCTTGTGTTTTTCCCGATGTCTTTCGCAATCACCGAATCGGAAGGTTCGTTGAAGTATCACCGGTTTTATCCCTCTTCTGGCTGCTTCTTCTCTAACTGGCAAATGTTTTCTCCGCCGTCACTGAGACTACCAGAATTGGCAAGGGATATTTTAGTGTTACCAGGAAGACTCACCTCAGATCCCCATTGCCAACCAAGCTGTCTCATTATCTTGTTTAACCGCGCCACACGGGATCTGCCTCCCGGCGTCGTGGTCGCATTCACTTCGGAGTGACAATGACGCCCATCACATAAATATTCATTGTGGTCCTTCGTGACTGCATCGTGTTTGATGGACGGCTCTGCGGTGGTGCGTCCTTCGTACCAGGTACTTGAATACTCAACGTTCGTCTAAGAGTGCCCGGATGAGAGCTTTCCGGGAATTGGTGATTGCTTATTACTCGTGTCCATCAACCCCCAAATATATTAAGTTGCTAGGTAGCCGAATCATATTTTTAACATTTTCTATTGCTGAATATATATTTTGTTTCATTTTCTCATGTAAAAAGAGGAAAATATTGCGTGTCACTGCAGAACTTTTCGTGACAGTCGTTTAAAAACGTTGGCGTATAAATTTTGTGTAACCAATATTTCGCGAAGGTATCCAAATAATGTGTACCAAATGTTAGGTTTTGAAGATAACAGAATCTGGTTAATTAAATGTGCCATTGCGTCAGTCCTGTGGCATTGTAAGAAAAAATATTCATGGCTATGTATTTTCCTTGAAAAGCAGTAAAATTATTACAAGAGTATATTTCCTTTTATTTCCGTGGTGATTCTTCTACTGTACGTTACTGTGCATAATGCAGGCATTAATTTCAGATTGCGAAGAGTCGCTTACGAGTATTATATGCATAAACTGCGTAGTTACTGTAGTTAGCCATGGATATTACTCGCCACCGCTTTTGGAATTTCATTTACAACGGTTTGTCTAACATGTCCTTCGTATAATGAATCATTGAATTCGAATTGGTATGTCTTGAATTATTGCGATTTTTTAGTCACTAGAAAAAACTTCTGTGATAAAACGTTTGCTTCATGTATTCGTATTGCCGGGCAAATAGATCATCAGATCAATTGTCGCATTAAAAGTCTTGTGTGCTATGAAATATTGTATTATGCACCGGAAACTCATTGCATTGAAAAGGTAAACCTTCCAGAA